TTCTAGTTTTTAATTTTTGTTAAATAAGTGGAAATCCTAATTAATTGGTACCTATTTATTTTATGATCAATTGTTTTGTATTATTAAGTATAAATTATTCATTAATCATTAGGATTTACCGAAGGATTTACATCAGTAATTAACGAGTGAAAATATAATTAGCAAACAAATTAATAGTATATAATTTTATAGAGTAAACTCCAAAGACACTTCTTGTCTTAAAATAAATATCTTATTTTAATTTGTTTAAATCATTACCTCAGTTGGTCTTTTTGGATTTATAATTTTAGCAAAGCCAAAATTTTTATTTTGCTGTTTATAATATATAATTATTCAGTTATGTATAAGGATTGTAATTAGTAAAAATAAACCAAAAAGTTAATACATCCCAAGAAAGAAACAACCGAAATTCTCTCTAACAACCCACTATTTGTTTTGATATTTTTTCTGATTCATTAATAATTAATTTGTATACCTAATTGTAAAATTAGTTAATTTTGCAGTATAGGTATAACAGCATAATTTTTGTTTGGTTATGCTCAATTATTTATAGTTAGTACCAATGTGAATGTGATCATAATTCGTAAATTTAATTCTGAGTAGGGAGAATACAGGATGTGTCAGAACTCGCGCCCCAGAGAAAAATTTTAAGTAAGATAAGATACCAGGAACATGGAAAAAATATTTAAAAAATTCTATTTGTCGAAAAATTTTGCCATTTATTTTTTGACATTTGATATTTTTTTATATCTATTTAATGATACTGATGGTGTTGTATATGTTTTATTTATATTTATTTAGTAAAACTAAAAAAAAAATTGCCAATAAAAGCCACAAGTAACATTAAATAGAGTTACAATTTAGGATACAACTTCCTTGTTTCCTCTTCTAATAGCCTGTGGGAAATAACTTGGAAAATTATTTTTTCAACAGAAATAAATAGTCCAAGTGCAAAATTTAAACACTCATAATTTCTAAATTTTTATAGATAGATATTTTTCAAAATTTTTTCCATGTTCCTGGTATCTTACCTTTCTCTAGGGCACGAGTTGTGGCGCACCCTGTATAATTTCGTTGCATTTAATAGGTAATTCTCGCTAACAGACGCACAATTAAGTGTTTTTGCCGGTCATTGTCATTTTATCAAAACAACAACAAATCGCACCGTTTCATCTCCTCGACAATCTTAAACCAAATCTCTCGATTACCTTTCGGTATCCAATCTCTAATAATCTAATTTCTCTTCGTCTGACGTCATAGCGTGCTTCTTTCACATTTCTAATCCGTCGTGCCAGACACAATAGCAATGACGCACGTCTATTTGAAAAAAGCAACGAACGCATTGAAACAAACCATCGCAGACGAATGCATTCTTCACGGTCGTAAACCCCAAATAAATCGAAAAATCGGCTGGCTGCGGGCAAATTTGCGTCACTTGTTGGAATTTTTTTCGGGTCATTTTCAAGGGAATATTTCTACCTTGCACAAAACCGCCAGTGACGTCAACAAAATATCGCTTACTCGAAATGCTGATACGGGTGTTTGTTTACCTGTCACGGTTACTCATCACATGACAAAACATTGTGTGCAACTCGGGCGAAAACCACGTGCGGAGTTGCGTAGCGGAGGTTATCTATTTTTTCCGATTCCGACAAATCTTCTGGATCTTACCAATATTTTTCAGTTTTTTCAAAATTATTAAAATTTCTTTAATTTGAGCCATTTGAAATACCAAATTAGATAGAAGACATGAAACAAGTCTATTTTATTCAGTATACTTTATTATATAGCGTGGAAGCGTGGTATTTTTTGGCACTTGAACTAAGAGCTCCACCTTGTGCCAAAAACTGCAAAGCTGTAATCGCAGCGGTTTTCCGGGTGCCGGAACTTGATTTGATAAGTTTTGACGTCAAGTTTTCGATTAATTTGCGGTATATTAATAATGTGTTTATTAATTAGTAAATATGTCGTCTTCATGGCACAAAAAAGTTGTTCTTACGTACTTATAAATCAATTAATTGTAATTATTGTTTTGCAGCCTTCTGGTTGGAGGAAACTACGAAATATCGTCCAATGGACGCCATTTTTTCAAACGTACAAAAAACAAAGATACCCATGGGTTCAACTTGCGGGTCATCAGGGTAATTTCAAAGCAGGGCCGGACCAAGGAACAATTTTGAAAAAGCTTTGCGTCAAAGAGGAGAAATGTTTCAAAGTAGTTTCACAAATATTTTATCTTTCTAGCCACTAAAAATGAACTTTCAGGTTTTAATGAAAGATGTCTTAAGGCCATACGTTCCTGAATATAAAGGTTTAGTTGCAAGTGATGATGGGGAGTGTTCCTATATCCAACTGCAAGACCTTTTGGGGGATTTTGTTTCCCCCTGCGTTATGGACTGTAAAATTGGGGTACGGACGTACCTCGAAGAAGAATTAGCCAAAGCTAAAGAAAAACCGAAATTGCGAAAAGATATGTACGAGAAAATGTGTCAAATTGACGCGAATGCTCCCACGGAGGAGGAACACAAACTGAAAGGGGTGACAAAACCCAGATATATGGTTTGGAGGGAGACAATCTCGTCAACAGCAACGTTGGGATTTCGGATAGAAGGAATACGGAAAGGGGATGGTACCTCGAGCAAGGATTTTAAAACGACAAAGTCGAAAGAACAAATCATGAAGGCTTTTCAGGACTTTACGGAAGGATTTCCACACGCAGTGGTAAGTGATTTAAAACACAAACATTTTTATTACAAAATATAAAGGAATCGGATTTTTGAGTTGATTTCTTTATTTTTCAGCCTAAATACATCCAGCGGTTGAAAGCAATAAAAGCTACTCTTGAGACATCAGCGTTTTTCAGCAATCATGAGGTGAGAATCAACTCCAAAAAGTTGTGTATACGAAATGTGTGTTTCCTAGGTCATCGGAAGTTCGTTACTTTTCGTGCATGATCGTTACAATGCCAACGTGTGGCTAATTGACTTTGCCAAGACAATAAAATTGCCAGAAAATGTGAAAATTTCGCACAGTTCTAAATGGAAAGTGGGAAATCACGAAGACGGCTATCTAATTGGTGTCAATAATCTCATTTCGATATTCATGACGATGTTGGAACAACAACCGGTTGCCATATCGCCACCTTTGACACTTCCGGATCCGCCGGAAATTGCCGATAAAAAGGAGGAAACTTGACGATCTCAAAATGGGAGTTTTTCGTAGCAATTCTTGAACTAGTCGAGAATTTTTGTTTTGTTAATAATTAACGGTTATCATTGTAAATGAAAAATGGTATTATTTATTTTTTAATTTATATAATTTCGTAGTTGTTGCCACAATGTATTGCATTTAACGTAAATTGTAACCATTTGCAATGAGATGACGGTTTTTTGTACTGATTTCAATGTACCTACAATACAGTAACTGTCTCGGAAGTGACCCCACGAGTAGGTTAAGACTTAGCATTATTATTAATTATTCATTCGTTTCACAATCATTTATTTTCATACTTACATGAAATATATTCTATTATAATACGTTTTTTGCGTTTTTTCCCTAAACCTAATACTGACAATAATAACAATTTCCCGGAACGAGGTTATCAGGTGAGATTATTGGAAAAAAATTATAAACAATTATGAGTAACCTTCAATGCACAAACATAGTAAAATGGCGACCCGACTGTCAATTTATCTTTGAAAATAAAACAATCAACAATCGATCACTTATCTAATCTTGTCGTCAGGGGAATAAACGGTGAATAGTATAAATAATTTTTTTAATTAACACAAAAATATATAATAAACATCTTATATCGGGCGATTTAAAAGTTTAAAAGTATGCTCGCATATGAATTTACAACAGTTTATTTGTTTTAAAAATAAAAATAATTTTTTATTGCATCCAACATTTAAATTACGTTGCCACTTTACAATTTCATGATTTAGTCAAAATTTAGCAATTTCTCGCAAATTATAAAAAACACTTCTTTTGAAAAATGAATTTGTTTGCTAGTAAATAGTGCGACATTAATTTGCTTAAGAAGAACACCTAAAATTAATTAATTATTTTTTTACAAAGTGCACCTATTAGCTTTTTAAAATAAAAACATGTACTTAGACTGTACTGTTGCTTTTCTTTATTAGTTTTTTTTTTGAAAAGCAAGTTCTCACAGTACTCGTTTATATAAATAAAATCGTTTTTGTGTTTGATGGCCAGTATCCCTCATGTCACGGGCTTTTCGGGCCTTTTTTGACACACTCGATATTTAGGAATAACAATAACAAAGATATTGAAGCTGGTGTGCAATAGATCATTGTTTTTTTTTCACAGAAGTTGTTAGGTAACAACAAAATAAGTATTTTGAATTTTTTTATTTAATTATAAGATAAATTTTTGAATTTAGCGTTTTCACATTTTTTGTGATAACTGTTACTTAAGAAAGTAATTACTTATTTTAATTTGTTGTACATAGAAATAACTGTATTGTTTATGTGAAGTACAAGTTCTCTTTAGTATTATTCAATAAGAATTAAAAATAAAATTGTTTGTTTGTGGCAAACCAAATAATTCTATTGAAAACTAATTGAATTGCGTTTTGTGGCTTCAGTAAACGCGTTACGTTTTAAGATAGTTAGATTTTCAGTTCAAAATTTTAGATGTTTGGTCCACCCGGTACAATTTTTTGTTCAAAATATGCAACAATCAGCACAGACTCGTATTAACCTTGCATAACTAATAATGAAAATAAATATTTCTTTATTCAAATAACTACATGCACTTGAGACATAATCACAGAAAGAATTGAGCACTCGACCTGATACAGGCCAACTCTCAATCATTTTTATTATCTCTTTTATTGACTTGGCGTTGCACAGGGCTAACCCCACTAACGGTGATAACGGGAATATTGGGCCTTGAAAATTTCCGGGTGTTTCGAGCTTCTTCCGGAGGTTTCGGAGTGTATGGAGGAGGTGCTAAGAAATTCTCCTCAACGGGCCTTAACGAATACCTCCTTCTTTCATTTTGTACATTGTGAGTGTCAGGCATAAGGGACGTCCTCCGAGTTTGGAGATTCGGCCTAATTGCTTGTCTTCGGGCTCTAGGTGGCGAAGGCCCCTTTGGTGGTGACAAACTGGCCGTTCCGAGTTTCCTCTTGGGGGCACCTGGAGGTAGCATTGATTCGGGGACGGTGATAGCCGAGAGGGCGCGAATGAAATCAGCAATTGAGGTTTGTTCAAGGAAGGCATCTTGTTGTTGGGTGGAAAGAACCGAAACTCGCCCCCTGTTTGTCTGTCTCAAATACCGGTCCTCGGTTGTCGTAAACATGCTAGCTCTGCGACGACCGTGCTCCACGTCGTTTTTATCCTCTTTCGGACCCATGAATATGTTTTTGAAACGAGTGAGGAGGTTTTCGGACCGGTTTTCGGTCTCTGAGGACGGTTCTGAAAAAGTCCGCGTTCTATCGGACCAGATGTCATGCCTGGCTTCAACCTTGTGCATCGATGGGACCCTAATATCACTAATTGCTCGTCTACGTTGCGATTTTGGAAGTGCGAGTGTTTGACTTTTGAGTGACCATTTGCTTCCGTATCTCTCACTTGCGAGAATGTCAGAGTCTGGCAAATTTTCATAAGTGCCTTCTTCAGGGTCTGATATGTTACTAAGAGCGTCCACGACTTTAAGGAGGAGATCATTTTGTTGTTCTTGCTCAATACGGTCCATCAGGTCTGACTGAGATTCGAACGTTTGGAGGTTGTAATAACCTGGGCATTCGGAAAGAGCCCGTTTTCGGACCATTGTAGGTGAATTCATGTTACGGTAAATATCCAAATCGGGACAACTTGAGGTTCGGCTGATACGGCGAGGGATGTAGTCGAACGCTTTGCCTCTTTTCACTTTCAAAATTAGGAATTCTTGAAGCAAGGATCGGAGTTCTTGCCGGATACGTATTGGAGTCTTTTTGATGTTTTCACTAATGATTTGTTCGATTCTTTTTACATTTTTGCTTTGGAAAAACTGAGTAATAAAACCTAGGATCATAACGACATAACCCAAGCCTCCGATAACCCAAATCAATAGGAATATTTTGTAGAACCAGTGGTAATCAGAGAATTGGTGGGGTTGGTCGACACCTGGAATAGAATGTAGGGTCGTATAAAATTTGTGGAAATGTTTTTACTAATACTAAAGTAAAAGTATTTGCAGAAATACCATTGCTATCTATTTTTCATTTTTTCTAAAAAGTAATTAGATATGTTGTCTATACCCAAGTATTCAAATTTTAAATATTTATAAGACATTTGCATTAAATTGTAATAAATTGCATATTATGTTGTTCGGAGTAAAAGTAATATGGCGAAGCTGAACGTTTATTTTGCTAAACGCAGTGAGGCAAATAATTCAGCTGAGCCACATAAACTCACTTTTACTCCAAATAACATATACTATTTTATCCGCAAGCGTATTCAGATCGAGAGTAATGAACAATACTATATCTATAATTATCAAGTAAATGAACAAGATAATAGGATGCTTTGCACTAAAATCATAACAATCGTCACGCGTTAGTATCGAAATTAGTGTTAAGATTTTCGAAGGTGTTTATTGATTTAATGGATTACTAGTGGAGTTACATAGTTGTGCAAAATGTCGAATGCTGATAATCTACAACCCCCACAGAAATTACCGAAGCAGCGAAAGAGACAAGAAATAAACAATTGGTAAATGTCATAGTAAAAGTAAAAACTCTTAAGCGAAAAAACAAAGTATTTACTCCATGTTTGGAAGATAAAACTTTTACTTATGTCATTTAGTCATAAAAGGCTCACTTTTGTGACGTTTGCGTATAAACTTTATTTTAGACGAGTATTGCAATAGTTTTACGAAGAGTAGAGCTTGTTCCAAATCTGGTGGCGGATTGACGTTGTTAAAAATAACCGAATTTTGACACTAAACATGTTTACTATTAAAAAAGTATATTGTCCATAGGCTTCGTGATAAAATGTATTTCAAAACTACTATTATTCTTTGAAAAATTATCATAAGTACGAAGTGATCCAGAAAGACTGAGTCTGTTGGCAACAGATTTGAAAGTATTTTTGTTAATAATTTGAAACACTACAAGCTTTGCTTGACAAATATTTGACGTACAACGCCACAAGATTGTTGAATTGTTCTTAATCAAAAGCGTATTCTAATGGTAAGCTTTAAAAATTGGGGTCAGGATTGCCAACATATTCAGTCATTGTGGATCACTTTGTAGATAAGATGAAGAATGATGAACAAATTATTAATTTGTTAACGCATGAAAATAATTTTTAACAATGCTATTTCTAACAATCCTCGTCCTCAAAATCACTAAAGCAAAAATCGCTTGCATCGCTGCTATCGTCGGTTATGATAAAGTTCATTAATGATTACATCTAAATGATTTTCCCTACTTAATCGGGTGATCTTCATTTGCGATCACCCGATTGCAAACTCTTGGAAAATGACTGCTAAAAAAATTTTAGGAAAAGAATGGACGCCCATGTATTTCATTATCTCAACCAAGTGGCCACATTCCAAGTATCTTCCCTGTCACTGTTATTTTGCCACCAGATATGGAACAAGCTCTAATAACTATACAGGGTGTTTACGGTCTTGAGGTTGAAATTTAAATAAGATGATATTTACAGTAGAAGAAAACTAATACACTATAAAAAACAAAAATTCACGTTGTGAAAGGAAATAATTCATTTTAGATTATTGGTTTGAGAACTGCTGCTTCGGCTGCAACAATGGCCATTAGTATCAGTACCTGGTGTTTCACCATAAATTATAATCACGACAACCAATTTATTATTTAAATGTTTTTTGCCATCCATGTTTAAAATCTGGAAAAAATTAAGAAAAACGAATCAAACCGATTGGAAACCTTTTCGATGGAAGAGATTAAACAGAAAATCTTCGAATTTTGATAAAAACTAAAGCAAAAGAAAATCAAATGATAACAGTGACAAAAATATGAAGTGACTCTTCTCTTTCATTGTCACGGATACGATTTTTTTATTTGTTGCAACAATACAATTTTATCTGAACAAGGAAATAATTGACCCTCAAACCGTGCACCAATATTAGGCACAACTGTTTTTTTCTCGTATTTCTATACATACTCTTCAATTACAAGGTCAATTTTCAACTCCAATACCGTAAACACCCTGTATTATGTTAAATTATTGAGTTTTTTTTTAAATATCATAATTAATTCTTAATTAGGTATAATTACAATACAACATATCTCACTTGTTGCATTATTTGTTTGCGGTATATTTTGTGGAATGTATATACTATTCTTGCAGTATTTGACACTAGAAGAAAATGCGGATGCCTTAGATTTTTAGAATTCAGAATAATCAAGTTTTGAAGGCTAGATAAAAATAATACTAGGTATCATTAATACGAGTATACATTTTGACACATGTTTTTTTTTATTGCAGTTGTAATAAAAAGGATTAATATTTTGAAAAAATATATGAAGTAGGTATATTTTTGCTAAATTAGTATTTTTAAATACATATTTAAAAAAAATATGTATGTTGTTTTTACACAGCTGTGTGTCGGCAAATGTATTTTTTATAATTTTGTTGCTTCAATGCAAATGCTTGTTTTATTATGAGTTTCGACATTTTTTTGATTTTACCGAATTCTAAAAATCTGTGATATCTATCTTTTGCAACTCAATTTTTGATAAAAAATCAATACCTGCAACATAATCACCAAACCCGATCGTGGTTAAGGTGACAAAAGCGTAATAAACGGCAACGTCGTAGTCCCAATTCTCGAAAAGTACCATCAGTCCAGCCGGTATAAAAATAAAAAACAAGAATCCTGGCACCAAATACAAAATAACCTGACTTATAAGCCCCAATCGGGTTAAATCATTCTCGTTACTTTTGTTTTTCCATCGTTGATACAGTTTCGTAAACTAAGAATTTGTAATAAGTGGGACTATAAATAATGTATGATTGGTATTGACTTACTGATCTTCCGAAATAATTGCCTAGAGTCACCATCACTATACCATTTAAGGGTATTCCGATCAAGCCATAAAAAATCATGACGATGCGTGTCAGAGTGGTAGTTGGGGATAAATTGCCGTAGCCAATAGTACTCACGACCGTGATAACAAAAAACAACGAATGGTAAAAATCCCATTTGTTGTCTTCCCGGATTTCAGTCATCCCTCGCTTTATCGGCTTGCCGCAATAATCAGTTAAAGCTTGGAAAAATTCTTTTTCATTAGGCAGTGAGGCCGATTTGTCGAAAATTTGGGCCACGAATTTATCGACCTTCTTTCTTAGACAGTCTTTGTTTTGAAGTCGTTCTTGCTCTTTTTCGGATTCCTTCCATTGGAAGAAGGCAGCCCCCATCATCAAATAAAAAATAAAAATGCACAAAACCACAAACCATTCTTTCTTGGACATCATCTACGAGAATGGATGAAACTACATTTTGGCCGTTTTATTTTGCTCACCTTCGATGCAAATCACATAAAGGGGATTAATCTCAATTGAAGCGTTTCTAAGTGATTATCCACTTCTTGTAATGAGGAACTTCCGAATTGTCACAGGTCAATCGAACTCTGATGACAATGAAGGGCGAGTTTTGAGGCGCGGTTGACTCTATTATCCTTCATGCTTTTTTGACTATTGCACTACCTACTGATGGTACCGTCGAACTGATTTCTTGATTCAAGTGTGACGTTTTTGAATTTATTCACGTCCTTGTCTAAGTCATAAGTGCGATATGATCACGACGAGGAGGGGGACACTTGAAGATTAAGTGCGAGAAAAGACGAAAATCCGATTTTCGGTTTGAAACGGTTTGTTACCTTTTGTGTAAATTTTAAACAAATTTGATTTAAATCTTTCCAAAAAAAAATATTATTGACGCAAGTTTTTCGCGATGGACCTCTAATGAATGTCATTTTTCGCAAATTGTGCGCTAAGTAATAGCTTCGTTTCTCGGGGATGAGACATCGATTACGCGATCGTTTCGACATTTTCTCCTCACCTTGCGATCGAAATAAGGAATTTTGTGGATTAATTGCATTGCAAAATCTATCAAATAAATTAACACTTCGGTCAAATATTCCACTCCGCGTCACCGTTACTTAACGATTAGATAAATCGTATTGTTCCAAATGAACTTTTCTCCTCAAAAAGGGCCTTGGTATCAATGCATTAACAGAGGCCGCCGAGGCTTGCGAAATACCAACAAATATAGTCAAAGAAAATCTGGAAAACGCATCATCGTCATCAAACACTCGATTTTTATATTGTTTCAATCAGTTAGCGTCGAAGGTGGACTGGTAATAAGCGACAAATTTACTTATTTATTCGCACCGAATTATTCAGGCCGCGTTTTTTTCCGGGTCCAATTAATCTTTTTCGCGTTTGAATCGCGAGATCATTTTTCTGAGCTATTGTAAGTGGAATTTTCGACGTGTTTATGTGGCACCAAATTGTCGCAGGTCAAGGAAATACACACTCACATTTTTTGAATAAATCAACAATCATCCTAGAAGCGCAAAACCTTTTCGATTTTTAGACTTACTTATCAATTTTATTGTAATATTGTGAGATGCTTGTCAATTGAAATCCATTTAAAATCATGTAAAATTTATCTGTGTTTATGTTTATAATAAAATAATAGTCGAACCATAAATTCTATACAAAGGTTTAATCGGAATTGTTTGTGTGATATTTTGTAAACGGAAATGTAGTTAAGAGAATTTCGAAAACTGGACAAGAGCAGCAAATGTGGCATTCTCGGTTCGTGGTACGACGGAATAAGTGACTTATATAATTTATAAAGATTAGATAATATCAGAACAGAAAGGCGCCAATTCATGAAATTGGCATTTCTTAGAAGACAAAATAAAAAATATTATTTCCATTTGAATCATCTGGAACAAATATTATTAAAAATTGAAAATACATATTTACATATAGTTAAAATGTCATTAATGACCTAATGTTGAACAATCTAAAATAGATGATGAGAATGCATCAAGGCAGGAAAATTGTCTTCTAAATGTATGAAACAGTTTATTGTATAAACTGATTTTTTTAGATATCTAAATAGTCAACACAATTTTGTAATAAATGGAGAAATATAGACTTTGTAATAATTATATAGATTATTATAGATAATTTATCTAAGTACGTATACGTATCTGAGGGCATTAAATAATTTTACAGAAAAATATCTAATATTACTTTTAACTCGGTAATTTTCAGTGGAAGGTAACGTAAAAAATTGTAAGCAACACTTTGGGTGGCCTGCTGTGTTCTTTCTTTTTATTTGTCTAATATATTTTGGTATTGCACATCCTTGTCTAATAGTGTTACATAATAATAATTAAGTTTTGGTAGTTAATGTTTGCCGTAAGTACTTCTTGTCTTTCAATATTTTGGATATTTCTAGCAAGTTGAATAAATCTCTCAGAATTTTTGGTAAAATTTGTAATTGTCTTTGTGCACCTTAGTAGCAGATAAATTAAAAAAGTTATTAGAAAAAGGATTTGAATTATGTATTTCAATTGTGTTACGTATAATATTTTTTAGCAACTTCTTAAATTAATGTTATTATTGATTTTCTGAAATTTTTTTTTACATTTCATATTTTTAAGAAACAATAGTATATTAAAAAACATTGTTATACACGTAGTTAGTGACAAGACATTTCACGTATGAAGTACACAAATTGCTTGAAAATAGCTTAAATTGCATTAGTTTCGGTGAAATACGTTTGATCTATAACAATTTCTTACTGAAAAACGACAGTCAAGATAGTCATCTTCTTTAGTCAAAGAATTGCATAAAATGTCCCCAAAAAACAGTGTCATAAACTACTCGTATCACAATGAGAGTGTTTGTAAACTTGTTTTTTAATATACTATTGTGTAACTGAAAACAGTTGCACAAAATGCTCATTGTGACACCGAAATAGAAAAATACCTTTTTGGTTTTTATTTAATTCTAAAATATTTATTGTTCATTGTCTGTTGTTTAGATTTATATTTTTTTACATTTCACAGTGCATTTTAATGTTTTAGTAGGCAAAACATGTTTTTATGAGTCTAAATATTTTCCTAATCGTTAATTTAAGCTAATACAGTAATATATTCAATCACAAGTCACATGAACTTTCTCGAGCTACCAAAAGTCGCAGTAAATATAATAAATCATTAATGAAAAGTGTGCATCTCATGTTGAACTAATCTTCGATCAGATTTTTATCTTATAAATCATCAAAAGTAGGTCCACTCTTAGAGTGGTGTTTCTATACCAGCAACGAGGATTCACGCAGAGACATGATTAGTAAAAGTCATTGACAGCCTAAATGCTGCTTTAAATAGGAAGTATTTATGTACTTGAAACAACTCGACGTAAAATTTTAAGTAGTGTGAATTTTTTTGTTTATTGTTTTCAGATGTTGCAGTCACAACAAAAGATAAACAATTTACAAACACATTTTGTTTTTGTCTCGAGATGTCTAAGGCTTGCGAGTTGTAGAATTGATACTTTTGTGCGACAGTTTCAAAGAATAGTAGTTGTTCTTGAAGGAATTTCACAGTTACACATTGCAATCAGATTCTTCAAATATTTTTCCAGTAGCTCAAATATTGATCTAATAAACTTATTAAGGATTACAAAAACATAACGCATTGACGTGATTGATTAATTGATTACAATAGGTAGTCGTGATTTTTGTAACGACAAGCTCCTCTTAAGATAATCTCAATTCTAAACAGTTGTATCTTGAAACGGCTCGTGCTTTAAAAACCGATAAAAATCAGTTTTTAGAAAAAAAAAAAACACAAAGAGGCCGAGCACGTGAGAACCTATACTAATATGATAATTGAACTGTTTACGACACGACTTTTGTTTTCCTAATAAATAATTTGTCTGTTGTACTTATTACCCACTTGCTAATCATTTATTGTTTGCTTTTATTCATCCGCAATGACCTCAATTTGATTGGCTATTACGAATTATCACACCTGAGTTGCGCAAATTTGACTCACTAGGTGGCGTATTGTCCACAATCATTTGCAAATAACTGTACTCGTAGTTGGGGACTTGCCACACGGTGGCGTCACTATTGCCAACATTCATCTATTTTAATTCTCATCATTGTTGGAATATTTTAATTAAATAATAGTTTTTTTGCAAAATTGTAGGCATGTCGGGTGAGGACGCTATCAGCAAATCGGATTTTTTCCTCAAAGACATTCCGAATGTTAAAATTGGGTGAGTAAAGGAGTGATTTAACCTCAATCTTAAATAACATTGTGCAATTTCAAGTAATGTTTCCAAAGCCCCTAAGAAAAATGTGGTCAAGGAACAACTTCAATTTCTTCACTTCAACGAGGAAATGCAGGAAGAAATTATGGAAACTTTAAAGTTTATTCACGGACCGGTTGGTTGCAAAACTTGCTAAATGTTAGGTTATGTCAATGATTTTTTAGGATTTCGTTCTGAAAAATGCCTCTGATTATAAGGATGTTAAGGCTAATTTAGGCAAAAAGTATTGGCTGGGCCAGAGCAACTTGATAATTAAGGGGGCTTGCGATTTTTCAAAAATAGAGGATGAGACCTATGAAGAAGGCCGGCTTAAACAGTTCGCTCTGATGCGATTAGAAAGGTGAATAAAACTACGACAAAGTGAAAAAAGTATTTATTTATTTCTTCATAGTTATGGCTTCCATCAAAATCACTGTATTGAGGCATTGAAATATTGTGAAGGCAATGTTGAGGATGCTCTCTATGTCCTTTACAATAAATATTTTAATTCAGGTGAACTCAAAATTGCGGATATTGACTTATCTGAAAACGAATTATTAGAACAGAGAACGGACGAAAAGAGCTCTTTGGAATCAATTTATGACAAAACTTTTCAAGAAAAAGTGCAAAACATGGTTTGGATTCTCACTCTAAAACTTGATTATTTAATTAAAATATTTCACAATAAAAACAGTGCGAAAAAAACGACAAAAACCGTACAAAATACAGCCAAGAAAAAAGAAAAATGTCGAAACTTTATAGCAGGAAATTGTAAATGGGGCGACAGGTGTCGCTTTTTGCACGAAAAAGAAGTGATAGAAAAGGATCCTAATGCCCATTTGACTGATTTTATTTTTGAATTAGAGGTACGTTTTCCCTTTAACACGAAATATCCGTATGAACCCCCTTTAATTCTCCTGAAAACTAATGCAGTCTTGCCACCGTTGATGAATTTGCATATTTGTAAAAGACTGTACGAGGAGGCTAAAATTTTGGCCGAGGATGGTATTCCATCGGTGTACACAATAACAGAACTGCTAGTAAATGAGGAAGAAATGAAAAGTTATGTTGAGACAACGGAAATCGATTTTATAGCTCCTAATGTGCCTTTGTTTCGCGACAAAAAAGAAAGTGTTCCAAAAAAGAAACGTCCCAGTCATTACATTAAAGGTATAACCAATCGTGATAACCAAAAAACTTTAACTCCGGAAGAAATTCGGGAAGTTGATGAAAAAATTGTCGCCAAATTTAAGTCTCTAGTCAAGGATAAAAAATATTTGGACATGCTGCAATATCGGAAAAAGTTGCCCGCTTGGGGGCTCATGAATGATATTTTGAATACCATTCAACAGTCTCAAATCGTGGTCATTAGTGGAGAGACTGGGTGTGGGAAAAGTACCCAAGTCCCTCAATACATACTCGACGATTGGTTGGTAAATTACCCAAATGATAGAAAACACGTCGAGATTGTTTGCACCCAACCGCGCCGTATTTCGGCCATTAGTGTCGCTGAAAGAGTAGCCGAGGAGCGGGTGGCAAAAATTGGCAACACTGTCGGTTATCAAATTCGGTTAGAATCTAAAGTTTCGGTTAACACTCGCCTTACTTTTTGCACAACTGGAATTCTCCTCCGCCGACTCGAAAGCGAACCAACTTTACCTCAAGTCACTCACATTATCGTCGACGAGGTGCACGAAAGGTCCGAACAAAGCGACTTTCTGTTACTAATCCTTAAACAGATATTACCTTTTCGACCCGACTTGAAAATCATCCTCATGAGTGCCACCCTCAACGCTCAATTGTTTTCGGACTATTTCGGGGAAGTCCCAATTTTGACAATTCCGGGTCGGACATTCCCTGTCGAACAGTATTTCCTTGAAACAATTTTCGAAAAAACCGGTTACGTTCTCGAGGACGGTTCAGAGTATGCCAGGAAAATAAAAGACGCCGAATTTATCGAAAACGAGCTAAGATTGTTGAACGCTGGTCGGCATATGACTCCCAATGATAATCTCCGAGACGAGAATTTGAAATTTGCGCAATTGTTGTGTCGGTACAAAGAGTGCAGTTTTCGGACTTGTAAAAATTTACTTCTGATGGATCCGGAAGTTGTCAATAATGAATTGATCGAGACGATTTTGATGTGGATCGTTTCCGGAGAACACAATTATCCGAGAAAGGGGACCATTTTGGTGTTTTTGCCCGGAATTGCCGAAATTACGAACTTGTATGATCAGTTGGCTGTGCATCCGGAGTTTGGGACCCGGAGTCAGAAATATTTAGTTTTGCCGCTGCATTCGTCGCTTAGTAGTGAGGAGCAAGCCATGATTTTTATGTAAGTGGATTCCCTAACAAATTTTGATATATTTTTTGCAAAACGTCATTGTTGTTACTTATATTTCTTATGGCTAGTTTGCTCTGTTTTAATTTATTTTTTTTCAACTTTAGGAAGCCCAAAAACCTCCGCAAAATCATATTGTCGACCAACATCGCCGAGACTTCGGTCACCATCGACGACTGTGTCTTTGTGATCGATTCGGGTCGAATGCGTGAAAAACACTTTGACCCGAACCGAAATATGGAGAGTCTCGAGACTGTGTGGGTGACCCGCGCTAATGCACTGCAACGCAAGGGTCGAGCAGGCCGTGTGATGGCCGGCGTTTGTTTTCACCTCTACACTAGTAACCGATTTCGCCACCAGATGCTCGCTCAACCTATCCCTGAAATTCACAGAATTCCCCTTGAACAACTCATCCTTAACATTAAAATCTTGCAAAATTTTGAAGATTGTGACGTTTGTGACGTCATCGATGGTTTAATTGAGCCGCCTTTGAAAGAACACGTGGAGACAGCGATTGTTCGTCTGCAAGATGTTGGAGCTTTAGACACTGAGAAACAATTGACTCCGCTGGGGCACCACTTAGCCGCCTTGCCTGTGGATGTGAGAATTGGGAAATTGTTACTATACGGAGCTATATTTTCCTGCGTGGACTCGGCTTTAACTATGGCGGCGTGTTTGAGTAATAAAAGTCCATTCGTGACTCCGTTTCGTAAAAGAGACGAGGCAAATGAGAAGAAGAAAAAATTTGCTGTGGGGTATAGTGACCACATTACGGTTCTGATGGCTTACAAAAAGTGGCAAAGTGTGTACAAGAAGAGTAGTCTAGCTGGGAGAAATTTTGCAAACGAGAATTTTCTTTCACAGAAGACTCTTGTAACAATCGCTGATATTAAACACCAATTTTTAGAGTATTTGGTCGATATTGGTTTCATTGCTGCGAATTTAAACGGAAAAAGACGCTCAGGAGACGATGATGTGTTAGCAATCACCGGAAACGAGGTAAAACATTAAAGGGCGTGTCTTAAGTTAAGTCACGCCCTCAAGTTGTTCTCACTTAATTCTTGTATAGTTTAACAGGAACGGTGAAAATTTCAATGTCCTAGCGGCAATTTTATGTGCGGCCCTTTACCCGAACGTGATAAAAGTCTTAACTCCGCCCAAATCGTTTGTAAAGACCGCCGGTGGGGCCATTCCCAAAGACAACGAAGCGAAAGATTTCCAATTCCAGACCGTTAAAGAAACTGTTTTTCTCCACCCCTCATCAGTGAATTTTTCGGCGAAGAATTTTCCAAGTCCTTATCTTGTTTATCAGGAGAAGGTTAAAACCAGTAAAGTGTATTTCAGGGATTGTACCGTGATTCCTGTCATTTCCCTTGTGCTCTTCTCGGGTTTTGATCTTGATATCAGTGTAAATAACGGTGCTACGTTTATTTCATTAGAGCGAGGTTGGATTATGTTCCAAGTGGAGGAACACAAGGTTGGTGAGTTTTTTAGTTGTTTGGGTTGGTAGTAATGTGGTTTACAGATCGCAGAAATGATTAAGATGTTGCGAAGCGAGTTGTTCATGTTGCTGGAAGAGAAAATCAAAGATCCGTTACTAAATATCTGGCATCACGATAAAGGAGAAAGGATTATTACGACGATTTTGAACTTAATCAACTTGAAATAGGATTGATTTTTTGTCACATTTTGTAAAGCCCATTTTTGACTTGCAAGTGTATTATCAGTTTTTATTATTGTTGTGTTGAAGAGGAAATAAAATTTTATTTTGTTAAACGCATTTTTATTTTGCGAAAGTGGACCTACAATAATAATGGTAGAAAATTGTGAAAACAAAATAAATCTTCTTTTGTTTGTGTTAAAAATGGTGGATGCGACGCGACGGGCCGAAAATTTGATGCTAACGGGTACTATAAATTTTGAAAAAATTATTGATTTTATTTGAGACATAAAAATTTTGCGACAACTAGAAACAGATATTACATACACTTAAAAATCGAATTTGTGTAATTACGTAATTTATGTTTAACTCACGATAAGAGCTAGGTCAAATGCAAAATAAAAAATCTTATTGTTTTCTATCTTTATTTTTTATGTTTCACTTGATATTTTCCTTTTTGAATTGTCTTCCGTTAAATGCGTTTTTATTCCGTAAAAATAATCGCGTGTCTGCTGAAGTGGTCCATAAAAAAATAATATGAGAAAATCATGAGAGTTTTGAGGAAAAATTTGCCGAGTTATGAAAGTATACACCTTTATCTTTACTTTTATGCGAGTGGGAATGTTTTAGAGCGGGTCGCTTAATTCAAAGCCTAGCACTGAAAATGTCTGTTTTTCTTTTTCTCTTCTCCGGGTTAATAACGTGCGACGTGGGGATTTAAAAAATATTTTCGGGTGGCTAATCGGCGCCTTTGCGATTTTCTCGCAAGCGTGAAAACTGATACGGTTTCCTTTTTACGTTTTAAAATTAAAGAAGCCTTACGAAGACCGAACGTTATTGGATCCTTTCGATTTCGGCAGTCTTGCCTCTTCTAATTAGTGACAATATCGCGCAATTAGCCGACTCGAATGATATATTCGGGGGCAATTTATAATATTAAACTGAGAACGGATCTCGTTAATTTTCCAATGTAAATTCGTTTCGAGCAAATTAGAGTAATTAACGCTCTTTTCACGATCCATATTCTTTATCACCTGCAATTACGACGAGACAGGCATCGGTCCAAGACGATTCAATTATCAGTTTTTCACACACGCTTTAAAAAACACTAAGAAAATCCAAATATTAAATTAATTAGGGATACAAACTGCCATTTTGTATTGTAAAATAGAATTTTTAATTTACTTCTTTTCACCCCCTTTATCCCTATGTCGCCGCGATATGATCTGCCTCATCGCCTCTCTGTGATAAGTTCCTCAACGATGATGTTTTAATTAAAGTTTCTTCGCCGCATCTGAAATCCCATAGCGAATCGTCGATGCTCCAATCGCCTTATAATTCCAATTTTTCGCTTGACGTGAGACTTAATTAACGATATTCCGCCAACGCGCCTCTCACAATTCGAATACTTTTTTCCCAACAAGTCAATAAACGTAAACAAAAGACACGTTGAAAGGAACATTCGTGCCTGAGAAGCGACAAGTGTTCGGTAATCCTAGACCCATCAAACTCTCGCTCGGGAAAAATAAGAAAGAAAAACACAATTATTTCATAGTAAGTGCTAAATTAGAGCGAAAAAATAATCAAGAGACGACCTCGTGCTTATCTCTCGCCGGATCCCGACATGCTGCAAACTGCTCGCTTATCCAGCAGGATTACAAAGGACTTTGTCGACTCTAAGAACCGGTGATACCGAAACATCAATGCTTACACATACACCACTTATCACGTAGACAGACACGTGGAAAATGTTAATGTTTTTTCAACGAATTGTTCAGCAATTTGCTTCTATTAAAGCGTTTTCTTGGGCCAGTCAATTAGGTGTTTGCATGTGAAATAAACGTTTTTAAATAAAACCTTAAACTAGGATATCTTTGAGTTAAATCGGTTTTATTAAAAATTACTTTTTGAACTCGTAATGTCAAAAAATGCATTTAGGCATTTACTGTAAAAGTGAAAATTTGTATTAAAGTTTGTATAGATTTTTTCTTGTCTTTGCTTTTACGATTTTCTCAGAAATTAAATAAACCTGATATTTTATTTTTATTTAAACATTTGGTCAAAGCTATACAAGGTGTCTCACCTAAGACTTTCGGATCTAATATCTCTATTATTTGCCAACGAATTCTAACAAAATTTAAAATATAGAGTATTTAGTAGGTAGAGATTAATATTTCATTAGTAAAACAACCCTAATTCTTAAAATGTAATTTTAACATGCCTTTTAAAATGATAAATTATTTAAAATTTATATTATATTGTTAATCGCCAATAAAAAATGCCATGAGCAAAAATCTGTCCTTAAAAAAGGTCCCGCTTACAAGAAAAAAGAATAAAATCGTGTAAAAAGTGGCTAAGCATCCAAAAACATGGGTGGCTATAAAAAAAAGAACGATATTACAGAATTTTAATCACCCCTCTGACTGTCAGGCTACAATGACGTTGATATTAGGTGTTTATTGTTTCTCTAACTTTAAAAACTTAAAATTGGTCATTGGTGATAATAGGCATCAGTCTCTTTTTTGTGCAAAGGTCTAATTTTTAGTGATGAACAATATAATAATAGTTTCGCTTAATTTTAAATTGAGAAAATGTGTTAAAATTATATTCTTTTCATAAGCTAATTTTATTGATACTAATTAAATTTCCACCTTTTAAGTTGCTTACATTTTAAATTGCATAAATATCCATTGGCAAATAACAAAGATATTAGAAAGTCTTATGTAGGACAACCCTGTATATTCCAACTTGCAAACTTTTAGAAGAATGTAGACAAAATACTTATTTTTTAAATTATTTATTAAGCAAATTGGTTCTTCTCCAAACAAAAAAACTTGACATTAAAGCACGTAAAGTAGCGCAACTGCAAAGAATTTGTACATTTATTTGTATATTCTAAAAAATTCTATAGATATACAATTGTGAAAATATATTTAAATTGATTCTGTCTAACATTAATGAAACTCTTAATAAATAAGTGTTGAAAAAATCAATATTTATATATTTTGTTTCGGTAGCAAAAATGGTGGATGCGCCGGGTTAATATTAATAAGAATATACACTGAGCGGCGAAACTATAGAATAATCTTATTAAATCTGAAGTAATTTTGTTTTGTCAAAAATTCTCGAAAAGGTCAACTTAAGAAAAATTCTCCACTTGATTTAAGGTTTTACACTTTTTGATTTTTAAGATCTTATTATTGCTAAAGTTACAACACCAAACTATTAAATATTAGATAACGAAAAACGGAAGTTTTAAAATCAACAAATCAAAAATTGGAAACTCTTAAATCAAGTTGAGAATTGTGTATTTTTTGAAAAGAAAATTCACCTGTTCGAACATTTTTGCTAAAACAAAATATTTTCAGTTTTAATAAGATTATTCTATAATTTCGTCGCTCACTATACAGTATGTCCCCGGATTGGATTTACAAGAAGAAGAAAAAAATTATCTTAGATTTTACGCCAAAACTGCAAAGGGAAAACATTTTTTACTTTACCTAAAACGAGGAAATATGTAATTAAAACTTTATTATTCTAACTCATTAGAAAGAAAAGTTCATTTTTCTTTTGATGTTAAACTTATAATAATTTTTTCTCTGCCTTTTAAATCCCATCACATTGGCGGTTTTATTTTTTTGACAATAATGTTACTTTGACAAATGAGTTTTCGCAAGTTAAATAACAAAAATGTTTGTGTAAAACATAATTTTGATAAATAGTAACTCAAAGAAATAACTTTAAGTAAGTTATTTTTAACAAGAATTATCATTATTTAATTAATAAATTAATTGTCAAAGTCACATATAGTTGTCAAATAAATAAAACCGACAATATGAGAGAACATAAAAAGCAGAGAAAAAGTAACTTTTTCTTTTCACTGAATCAGAATAATGAAGTTTTAATTACAGATTTGCTCGTTTCAGGTAAAGCAAAAAATGTTTTTCCTTTGCAGTTTTGGCGTAAAATGAAAGATAAAAAAATGTTTTCTCTTGTGAACTCAATCCGGGGACACACTGTATATTCTTTATTTTGTCGAAAAATTGTTAAAAATTGTTTGTTTTAATTTATGTACATTACATAATGTTCAATGTGTTGTTGCTGAGCAAATACTTTTCTCTTTTTGCATATCTATATTGTAGTAAACATTATTAACAAACAGAGAACGTCTTGTTTCATTCTTTTTATTTGTCTGAAATTTGCCTTATTGAGTTTTTTATTTTAAAGGGGATATTTGTTTTTTTTACATTTGGAGAAAGATTGTGAAACTGTGTAGAGAGACAATTTGGTTGGATGTTCAAATCAAGATTTTTGCTGTGATTTGTGGCACTTTTAATTTTGTGCCGTTGTCGTGAATGTCTCGTTAGATTTCAACAAGTACGTCAATGTTGAGCCTTTGGTGCGTGTATCGGGACGCCTCTGCCGGAGACAGTGGGAGACAGGGCGGCGCCGTGCGCGTCGTTTTCCACCGTCGGCGTCCCGGCGCATAGCGCCTCTGTTTGTGCCCTGGAGTGCACGCGACTGTGTCCAGCATCGCGCGAGTCGGCTTCAAAGGTGCAACCGTCATGTAAACCAGTGCACGCAATCATGTCTCATCTCAGCATCGCGAGGTAATTAAAATCCGGGATCATGCGGCTGATCCACGCGTAGCGTGCCATTCCCGGAGTTTCCGGCCCACCGGAAGAAGTTGATTGTGTTATCCCGCCGTGAACATGATCCCTGAAAAAATGGACGCAAACGCTTCCATCGCCAACACCACCCGGAACTTGTCGGATCCGGGCTTGGACCACTTCATGCTCCTCTTCGAAGACATCGACCAGTTTTTCAGCCATCTCAACTTGTCCAACGACTCGGATTACGCCACTTTCGACCGATTGTTTAACTGCACTTCCAACAGCAGTAACAGCTCGTGTTTTGGGCACTCGGAGTCCACCGGAAATCGGAACTACTGGGCCCTGGTCCTGGTGCTCTTCCCCATTTTCACCCTCTTCGGCAACGTGCTTGTGATTTTGAGTGTTTACAGGGAGCGAACTCTGCAATCGGCCACTAACTACTTCATTGTTAGTCTGGCTTTGGCCGATCTCCTGGTGGCCGTCGTCGTCATGCCGTTCGCCGTCTACGTGCTGGTGAGTTCAATTACGGTTATTTTTATCACCCACACCCTCGGTCCAATGGTTATCGAGCCGAACACAAATCGGAAGGGTGGGTAATAAACATGACAAAGGGTCATCACCATCAGATCAATGTAGGCACTTTACGACCTGGATACGGGGGCGCTTCTTCTCGATGCACTTCAAACCTTCACTGTCGCGTGACAAAGATACATAAATTCACTCTCTTTTACAACGACTTTACGAAATATGAGCGTAATTAGCACGTTCAATCGACTGTCGCGTGCCCTCTAAAATCGATCTCCAGCTTTACACTGGATTCATTTTGATTTATAGCAGACACCATTATCGATCCATAAAGAAAAAAATTAAATCACAAAGAAGAAACTTGGACGAAAATACAAAATTCTATCGCTTAAGTGTCAATATTTGCATTGAAATGGCTTAGATATAATTTCGTTCAAGAGGGTGCATCTGACAGATCTACAAACTCAATTTCAGGCCGACAGATCTTGCGAATTATTCGCGCGGGATTTACATTTAACTCTTCATATTTTTCGATCGATGCAACCGGTTGTACAAAGGAGATCGACTTTATTTATCGCCACTATACGCATTTTCTAAATTTCTTGGGTGGCGATTCCTACGTGTGTGATTATTTTTTTTTTTAATTTTTGTTTTATTGTATTTTGTTTAAAAGTAAGAGCTTTTTTAAATTAGCCAATCAGAGGTATTTCTTAGAATTTACTTAAGAAGGGCCTGATTGTGGTCATGTTGATGCAAGGGTCTTGTAGGGGACAAAGTGTACCAGTTTAGAGTGGTTTTTGAAAAAACTATGAAGTGTGGCCTTAAGATAAAGAATCACACTAGGGTTCGCCAATATTCCTGATTTTCCTTGGCGTGAAAATGACAAAACTGTAAGCAGTTTTTTGCGAGTTTCGTGTTCGCAAAAGTAGGGCCGGTTTAAACTAAACCTTATTTAAAACCTATTTTTGTGGACTTCTTACGTGATACTACTACAATTTACCCTTGTCAATAACGTAATAAAAATGTCGGTGGTTGTTTTGGTCAGAAAACTTTAACGAGCTCTGAAGAGGACAGATAAAAATTTGGATTTAAATAGTAAGTACTTACATTATGTTATTAGGAGTAAAAGTGAAGCTGAACATAAACTCACTTTTACTCCGAATAGCATACTCGTTTAATTGAGAGTAAAGAGTAATACTATAACTAGCAAGTAAATGTACAAAATAATCAGAACGCTTTACAACTAATGAAAACATAACGACGCTTATAAGAAAACATCACGTGTCAGTATTGGAATTTGTATTGAGATTTTCAGAAGTGATACATAATTTAACTACTGCAGTAGGAGAGCAAAATGTTGATTGCTGATGATCTACATTGTAGCATTCTAGAAATTGCTGAAGCAGCGAAAGAGACAAGAAAGAGACAATGACAATGGTAAATGTTACGATAAAAGCAGAAACGCTTAAGCGCAAAGATAGAATTTTTACTCCATGGCTTAAAAGTACAATTTTTACTTCTGACATTTAGTCATAACAGTAGTCACTTTAGTGACGTTTGCGGATAAATAAATTTAATAGGAGTATTTAATTTTCAAACAAAAAATCTCGAGGTAAAAACTGTACTTAAATAAATTCTTAGTCTTAGTACAACACCTAATTTTTCAGGCTGTGACAGCAGTGAATAAAATGACATACTTATGACTCAAACGGTAAATAAGGTAAACTACAAGAAAAAGAATTAACTCGCGTTTTATTTCCATCACAGTTTCCTTCAATTTAATTGCGCTACCTTTATTCGAATAGTGGGACAAAAAAAGTTTTTTTTGGTTAATAATTTTTTCGAGAAAAGAGAAGATGTATTTACAACTCTGTGACCAAAAATTTTTTTCCAGTAAGTGTCAAAACAGTAGTTTTAAATTAATAAAAATAATGATTACCTAACCAAGAATAAGCAGATTTGCTGTTGATTTGTGATGAAATGTTTCAAAATTATTTTACCGCTGTAAGAATAAGTATTAGATCACAACAGTCGTTGCTCTCAGCACTGCGGATTTACAAATTCACGAAGGAAGGGACAAAGGTTTATCAATGCAAATTTTAATAAACGAATTCGATTTCTGAAGACATTTTGGGATGCATAAAAAATACCTTTAATAAGATACAAGTGGCTGTTTTCAATTGGGTACGGGTACTTGCTGACTTTCAAAATCGAGAAAAATTTGAATATTTGTTATCAATAAATCTATCATAGCTAATTTCAGTTTAAATATGTTCTGAAACATTTTAAATTAATGTTTTTATTTCTTACAAGTAAATTATTAGGTATCACCTCCCCATTTGCGTCGTCTCTGAGCGCAGCTTTCTACAATGATAATTTCTTATTAGTATATTAATTATAAGGGTTGATTTGGCGCACGAATCCCAAGTTAGAAAACGAGCCGTAGACGAGTTTTTTATGGGATGAGTGCACCAATGCCATTATAAAACGAGTATTTTATGCTATTTTTTTCTAAGTTGCGCCCCCTTTTTTCTTATTTTAATTAAAAACAAATATATTTTTGCCGTCTAAAGAATTTAGTGTTAGTTGGTATCGGTTGCCCACCTGATTTTTTGAATCATTTCTGCCGTCTGTCATTAAAAATAAAATTTACAAATTATTAGTTATTACTGTTACAGTTGGAGACAAAATACTTTGGTCGTCACTTTTCTGACACTTTAATGTAATTCAAGCTTTAACGTTAAAATGAATGGCAATTTTAAATTAATGACAGCTATTATATTTTCCTATCAAAAACTTGTCAACTATGATTGATAGTAGCTAAAAATAAGGTTAACAGTCCTAAAGCATGCTTTACAATTTAATGTCATTCAAGTGACGACCAAAGTATTTTGTCTCCAACTGTACAACATAATAATAATAAATAAAATATGAGCCAACAGAATTCAGTTTGCACTCCGCCCGAAATTCGCGAAATTGCCGAAGCAACAAAGCAAAGTTTTTACCTGAAGTCAGAAGCGACATACAAAAACTAAATAACCCTAAATTCATTAAAGTACAGTGTGCTTTTGTAGATAGCCATAAACGACTCCTACTGAGAGACGTTAATAAACGTATTATAAACGCAAATTAGAAAAACATATTTTTAAGTACTTGATTTCAAATTTTTGAGGTAAGAAATGTTTCTTACGATTTTAACAGAAAGTAAGTTTCTCCACTAAAATCAGGAAGGAAATAAGAGACTAATTATCCCTCATGGAGAGAAAATAACACATTTGCCGTCGTCCCACTGTCCTTTAATGATGAAACTTTGTACAAATAACGTTGAACATAGTTACATTTTAGGATACAGATTTTTTGTTTCCTTTTCTAATAGCCTACACCAAAAAAAAATATTTTTCCAACAGAAATAAATAGGGTCAAAGTACAAAATTTAAACTCTCTTAATTTGGAAATTCTTACAGATAGAATTTTTTAACATTTTTTCTATGTTCCTAGTATCGTATCTTACTTGACATTTATCTCTGGGACCACGTAACATTATTTATATACAATATAATAATATTTTTATTTACAATCATTAGCTTTGACAGGAAAACAGATATTATTATTATTTAAATGAAATGTGATTACAATTAGTCTATTTAGTCTACAGTTGAGCCTTCTGGATATGGAAATATTTCTCATTTGGCTTGTTATGTACTATTAAAATAGGGCAATCTGACTTGATTTATTTATTATGAAGAATTTGTTGTATCAATGAAATTTGAAACGCATTTTAAAGCACAATTTTATTGTCTCTTCTTCATGCTCTATTAAAAAGCCGCCACTGTTTTGATCTACATTTGGGGGTAAAAACTGTGGTTTGTTGATCTTGTTTTTTATTTGGGACACTTTTAAAACAATCAAGAAATAGTTTAGATTGCTTTAGGTTATTATTAAAATAAAGAAAAACTAAATTGCACTTTCAGAGAGAAAACGGTATTATTTTTATCTTAAGATTTTGGCGCATTTAAATTAGCCTATAAAGTATTGGCTTTGGCCAACCCAATTGGATTTTCACCTTTTCTGATAAATTTTATGGTTGGGTTTGGCCGTTTCTCGTCGTTGCAGTCTGGCCGTGGTCCAGATTGGTTCGAGTGTTCCGTCGTCGTATTATGTTTTATTGCGTCACCTTTACGTTAATTTCTTTCGATCGTTTAATCCGGTCAAGCGGATTTTTCTTTTGTCGTTAAGTATTGTGTAGTAATCGGTGCTTTTCCATCGGAAAATATTGCCTTCAAAAAATGGCTTATTAGAGAGAAAATTGTTTTCGCGCATTTTAATCGAAACTGCGAATGGGAAAATTTAATTATTCTGATATAAAACTATTATGCGAGCTCGTCAAGGCACGACAGTTAACAGCTCGTAAATATGATATTGCAGTCGCGTTTTCCAATGTCGAATTTTTCTTTGTACCGGAGTTTGGATTACAATTAAAGTCGTCATTAGGTGGAGTGCGGCTTTTATTTTCAATTTGGGTTTAGTGGCGTTAAAAGCGACGCTTTACGGTCGACGAGCAGTATTCTTGCATCGAATAAGTGGGTGATAAAGTCTGTAACAAGTGTAGATGAAATATCAGAAGATTTTTGGAGCGTGATTACAGGAGCAATTAAATTTAAAATTGTCGCAGGATTGAAGTTTATAGGAATTGGAAAAGCTGCAAAGATATCTTAATCCGGTTTGGGGCCGAGCGCTCTCATTAAAGCAATGCGGCGTGAAATGAACGAGGCCAGAACTCGATAACAGATCTAATCAGTCGCGATGTCCAACGGAAAAAGCTCGTTATACTAAACCAACATAATTTCATTTGGTAATTAGCGAACTTTTCGGAAAAATCACCATCATACCGACCAAAAAAAACCGAAATTTCCACAATCTGGACTTTAAAAATAACGCTTTCTGATCGTTAATGTGCTATATTAACAAAACATTACCAGGATATTACA